TGTGTGTGTGTGTGTGTGTGTGTGTGTGTGTACATATATACATATTTAATCCAATATATACATCATCAAAGGTTGGAGCTAATGCTGGCATAGTAGGAATGACCAAGGAACACTTGGGACTGGCTCTAGCCCTGAACGTTCCAGTTTTTGTTGTTGTTACCAAAGTGGACATGTGTCCGTTGAACGTTCTCCAAGAGACCATGAAACTTCTTATAAGGATTCTTAAATCCCCCGGCTGTAGAAAAATCCCCGTTATTGTACACTGTAAAGACGACGTTGTTGTTTCTGCTACAAATTTTGTTTCTGAACGGTAAAGTTTAAGCTGTCATTTAGTTTTACTTTTTAATGAGGTATACTTCTACATATATGGGTTTTGAAGAACACTGAATTATGATTAAACAATCCATAACAATTTTGGCAGTAATTGAGTTTAATTATAATTCTATTTATTTTCACATTTTTTGCTTTTGGTGTGTGTGTATAAAATAACTTTGGAAAGGTCATACGTGCAATAGTTGCTTTAATTAGAAAACAAGATAACTCATTGTGAAACATAAGTACATTACAATTTATCTCTGTTTGAATTTCAACCAGATTTGAACATTTGACATTTTGGAGGAAATCTTTTAAGTTGTTTACGTATCCTTATGTCATTGATAACTGAATTGTTGCATTCGTTTTTGTTGTTGTTCAATCTAGGTTATGTCCAATTTTCCAAGTGTCTAATGTCACAGGTCAGAATCTTGATCTGCTTAAGATGTTTTTAAATTTATTATCGGCACGAATGCCAGCAACAGACTCTGAACCAGCAGAATTTCAGATTGATGACACTTACTCGGTGCCTGTAAGTGATAGTCATGTTTTTAAATATTACTCATTCTTAAATTGATACTTGTAAGTTATAATCATGTTTTGAAATGACTAATTCTTAAATTGATACTTGTAAGTTATAATCATGTTTTGAAATGACTAATTCTTAAATTGATACTTGTAAGTTATAGTCATGTTTTTAAATATTACTCATTCTTAAATTGATACTTGTAAGTTAGTCATGTTTTTAAATATTACTCATTCTTAAATTGATACTTGTAAGTTTAATCATGTTTTTGAATGACTCATTCTTAAATTGATACTCTAAGATATAATCAAATTTTTAAATATGATACTTAACTCGATACTTGTAGGTTATAATCAAATTATTAAATATGATTCATTATTAACACAGTACCCCTAAATTTTTAAATATGACTAATTCTAAGTTATGTCTCCTATATTCTAGATTTTGCTTTGATCATGATTAACAAATAGGTTTTATATTTCAATGACTAAGAAAATCATTTTGAAAATAGATTACACTTTCAAGTCTGTAAAGAAATGTGCATTGATAAATTAAATTAAAAATCTCTAAAATATTCTCCCACTGCCCAACTTTGCCAGGTTACTGATTTGAATAGGATAACAAAACATTACATTAAAAATAGGTAAGCAAGTGCCAAATTCAACAATTCTCTAAAATTCTTATTTATTGATGCATATTCTAAGCTTTTAAGCATGAAAATTACTTAAAATATTTTAGACCCAAAAAGGAAGAACCAGTTTCTCAACTAGAACGTTTTTATTGTTTATATTCACAAAAAGTAACATCCTTTAAATTATGTTTTTTTTAGCTATCTTTACTTTTTTTTAACTATATCTTTAACCCTAAAATCAGGAGCTGATCATGAAGAAATTGCCATGTTATGGTGGCTGCTTAGAACAAGAGAAATATCTTTAACCCTAAAATCAGGAGCTGATCATGAAGAAATTGCCATGTTATGGTGGCTGCTTAGAACAAGAGAAATATCTTTAACCCTAAAATCAGGAGCTGATCATAAAGAAATTGCCATGTTATGGTGGCTGCTTAGAACAAGAGAAATATCTTTAACCCTAAAATCAGGAGCTGATCATGAAGAAATTGCCATGTTATGGTGGCTGCTTAGAACAAGAGAAAATCTGCTAGAGCTATTTCTTGTCTAAAACTTTGCATAGATTTAGGGTTCAGTATTTTGTTTGGAAAAATATGTAATGAAATTCCTGAAATGGTGTTTTGCTATTGATGAAAAGTCCTTCCAAAGCAAGGCTGTTTTTACTCAGGTCATTCCCATGTTCACCTTGATTTGCACTGTAAGAATTATTTTGAACAGGTTTGTGACACCTAGGACATTTTGTACACTTAGTAGAATCAACAATAGATGTTCTCAAACTATTTCTTATGACTTTCATTGGTTGAGTTCTGATCAATCATATCTATGTCTGTTAACCACTGAATGAACCAAGACAATAAAAGTGGTTATAACAAAGTATCTTATTCTTTCTATTCCTTCTGCTTCACAATTTTCTTTTTCTCTTTCGAACATATTCTAAAATTTTTGGATAAGTTCTCTTTCTTATAATTTTAATAACTTCAGTAGGAACTCCATCACAATTGCATCCACAATGTTTGTATTTCTTGCAAACAACACTCCTTACACTTGCAACTGAGACAAGGATAAACATGACTATCGGATCTTCTCCCGGTCTTTATTGACTAGTTAAGCACTGAAAATAGGTCGTGTATAGTTAATTAATTTCCGAAAGGAAGTGGACTTTCTGCAACAGGTGAACCAGAGAGTTCTAATGTTGTACTTCTAAAAAGTTCTATTACCGAATTAACATTTTAAGGCACCTTTTTTAGAGCGTTTTCTTTTCAGTTGCTGGATATTATGATGACCAAAACAGCCATCAATTTTTGTACAATTAACTTTTGATTTATGGTAAATAAAAAAAATCTAGAGGTTTTTTTTTAGGAGTTTCCTTTGGAACAGTAAAATTTACAACTAAGTAGAAATAAACTGTTTGAGGTTCTGCTATGTTTGGAGAGGTTTAATTCTTTAGCTTCAGAAGGAGTAGAGAACTGTCATGAAATCCACTAAAAAGATTAACTGCTTGTAATAGAAATCTTTAATTTGGAAGCTTGGGTTATTTGTCTCTATTAACTTCCTCCACAACTACCCTGTAAAATCCACTGATAATTTCACAACCATGAGAGCACTTAGTGAACATATGAAAGTGCAGTCTTATTTAAACATTTGTGTAATTGTTAAGAAATCAGATCTTTTTAGTATTGGTCCTTTTAATGTTTCATCACTTTCAGTTAAACATCGGCATTGTTTAGAGGGGGAGGAGTATTGAACTAAGTTCTGTTGCTTAAAGCTTAATCTTGCAGGGTGTTGGTACAGTGGTGTCGGGAACAACCCTGAAAGGAATAATCCGACTGAATGATGTGCTCCTCCTCGGTCCCGATTCACTTGGACACTTCCAACCAGTTGCTGTGAGGTCTATTCACCGCAAAAGAATGTCGGTTAAAGAAGTACACAGTGGACAGACTGCCTCATTTGCACTGAAAAGGGTACGTAAGTTATAGGTGTTGTCTTGGTTGCATTTTATAGTCTGTATAATTTTATACTCATGAATTAAAGTTCTGCAAAATGTTATGAGGGTAGGATAATTAAGATATTACACAGTGAATAAAAAAAGGGGGGTATCAGAAATTCAGATGTACAGGCACATTTGTTATATATCTACAGAAAGTAACTATAGAATACTAAGATTTTGTTACTTGGTTTGTGATAACAGAAACGCAACATCTCGTGAATTTTTTACTCTAGAGTATAATATTGAACACAGAAATTCAAAACTAGTATAGATTTATTAGAAAAATAGTAGATTAGCAATCAAAAGAACTAAAATATCATTAAAACTGGAAATGGAGACTTTCATATTTATTCTCATACTAAAGTATTTTATAGTTGACAGACTTTATTATATTCTTTACTGAACATGTTGGGTGTAATTGTTACAATCAAAAACAGTTTTAAGACAGTGATTTAGCAGTAATGCATGCAGTACACCACTTGTTGAGAGAGGGTACGACATATGTACGTTAGCGAAAAAAGAAATTAATAATGAAACAATGTATTTATACATGTAATTATACATCAGTGTATAGATGTACTAATGAAAGTCTTTTACACTGGGTTTTGTTTCATTCTATTATGATTCTTCAATAATACATATCACTGAAAAAGTAAAGGAAATATTTAAAGCTTGGACTATGTCTGACCATGAGGTTCGTATGACAAATCAAACATGAACATAGAAAACATTCACAGCTGTATTTTCTGTAATCTTGAGTTTAATGTGTAAAGTTCACTACTACAGGAAAGTGATGATATGCTTTACAAAATGAAACTATAATATTAACTTACAGCTGTAAAACATAATTTAGAATTTTATTATCGTTTCCTTTTATCAGTATCGTGTGATTCCTTGCTCTAGGACTTCATCTGTTGAGCTTGTATGTGACACATCAGAGTTAGAATTAATAATGCCTGATTAGCTCACATGGAAGGACTGTAACTTCAATGATGTATCTAACAGTTTGTATTAAATGTTTTTATGTGACACATCAGAGTTAGAATTAATAATGCCTGATTAGCTCACATGGAAGGACTGTAACTTCAATGATGTATCTAACAGTTTGTATTAAATGTTTTTATGTGACACATCAGATTTAGAATTAATAATGCCTGATTAGCTCACATGGAAGGACTGTAACTTCAATGATGTATCTAACAGTTTGTATTAAATGTTTTATTCAGGTAAAGAGATCAGATATAAGGAAAGGAATGGTCATGGTGTCACCGTCAATAAATCCTGAAGCATGCTGGGAGTTCCAGGGAGAAATTTTAGTTCTTCATCATCCAACAACAATAAGTCCTCGATATCAAGCTATGGGTGAGTAAACTACTTAAGTCTTTTATCAAACTATCTGGTGGAACTATTTAAAAGTTAAATTACTTGGCATAATAGGAAACACGTGATTGAGTAGAATAACCTTTCTTATGTGTATTAAAGCCTTAAAATTCAGAATGAACTGAAAGCTTGATAATATAATATACAACAATATCATGAAATTTGGAGAAAGGGGAATAGATAGGTTATAGCAAATGAGGATGAAAAGAATCTCAAACGGTGATGTTATAAATGGATAAATACAAATAAACGGTGATGTTATAAATGGATAATTACAAATAAACGGTGATGTTATAAATGGATAATTACAAATAAACGGTGATGTTATAAATGGATAATTACAAATAAACGGTGATGTTATAAATGGATAAATACAAATAAACGGTGACGTTATAAATGGATAAATACAAATAAACGGTGACGTTATAAATGGATAAATACAAATAAACGGTGACG